CTTAAAAAAAAAAAAAAAACGTTTTCTTTCTCTTTATTTATTCCTTCCCTTTTCTAGCTTGCATTTATTTGAACAATGCCTAAAACTTGGTATTTCAAGCACTTCCTGTGTCTGTTTGCCTCTTTAAGAAGAATCACTTTATGTATTCCCCAATTGTAAGTCGCTTTGGATAAAAGCGTCGGCAAAATGACTAAATGTAAATGTAAATAACCCTGCTTCCAATTTATACTTTGCAGGTTTTTCTTGATGTGTTACCTCTTTGTAAACTTGGCCTGTGCTGTCCAAACACTTCTACGCACCCCAAATTGGAGGCCAAGATTCAAGTTCTACCACTGGTAAGTCACACTTCATGATTATTAGTCACCTTTATTTATATAGCCAAGCACTTTATGCAATACAGGTGGTTTCAAAGCAGATTTACAAGGATAAATGGGAAAATATTGATTTAAAATTGCAAACAGAGATCAATTCTACAGTAAAGCAGCTCTAAAAAACAACAACAATAGTGTCTTTGTTCAGCTGAGGTCAGTTCAGTGTTGATTCAGTTCCATTCAGTAACTGTGTAAAGATCATCAATTATGAATGTAGTTCAATTCAGCTGTAAAGCAGTCCTGTAGAAAACAGTGATGTCATCATCCAGCTCAGTTCAGTTCTTATCCAACAGTGTCAGTACATTCAATAATATTGCTGAATTTTAAGTGTCCCCAACTAAACAACTCAGAAGTGACAGTGGCAAGGAATTCTAACTCCATGGGTGACAGAAACGGAGAAAAAAAAAAAACTTGGAAGAAACCAGGCTCTGTCAGGGGGCCAGCTTCTCATGAACAAGCAACAGCTTTGTGGGAAGTGCATGTTCTGTTGTCCCACATGCCCAACAAATTGGCCATTGGTTTTTCATTAACCAAACAAGTGTAGTGTAATGCTTATTTGTTCCATCTGCGTGTAAATTGATGTAGAATGGACCAGTCTGAGTTAATGTTTGATTGTATGAACTACCATTAAATGCACCACTGGATTTGTTTAAATGTCTTCAGGTCCCTCTCTTTTCTTGGGATGAGCCTGAGTCTCTCCCTCATGTTTGTCTCATCGTGGTACTATGCTTTGGTTGTCATACTGATTTCTGGATGCATCTACAAGTACATTGAATACAGAGGGTAAGAAAGTGTCCATCACATTCACTGTGTTTTAAAGTAAATTGTTCTATATTAACTCCCCATTTTATTTCCCCAACACCCCTCAGGGCAGAGAAGGAATGGGGAGACGGGATTCGCGGATTATCCCTTAACGCAGCTCAATATGCTCTAATAAAACTGGAGGAGGCGCCACCCCACACCAAGAACTGGAGGTGAGAGTCCAGAAGAATAGCAGCACAACTTCAGTGCTGTATAAGCTTCTTCATACTTGACAGAATCTAAGGCAAATATTTAAAATGTAACTCATCTTCCAGACCTCAGCTGCTGGTGCTCCTAAAGTTGGACTCCAACTTGGGGGTAAAACATCCACGTCTGCTCTCCTTTAACTCACAGCTGAAGGCTGGGAAAGGCCTGACCATCGTCTGCTCAGTGCTGGAGGGCACCTATATGGCTCGTGAAGCAGAAGCTAAGCTCTCTGAAAAGGTGAAGGCATACAGTTAAAGCCAAACTTCTTTGGCTTTGATAGCAAAACCAGTTTGGTTTTGGCTTTGACAACTCGATAGCATTTTTTGAGGTTATTCCCAAACAGGGGTTCATGACTGAAGCACACAGTGCATTATTAAAATCAGATATTCGTTTGTTTTTATTTTACAGTACAACTGTAGTTTACAACAGTAATATATATCTGTCTTCATTGTTATAGTTAAAACATACTACTACTACTACTACTACTACTAATTATTATTATTATTGTCAACATCAGAGAACCATGCAGAATATTACGTAGTTAATGTAAAAAAAAAAGTAAAACAAACAAAAAATCACCTTGTGTTTCAGGGTTTTTCAGGGCTGTATAAAAATTCTGGCAATATTTTATGTTGTCAAATTAGACAATTTAGGACTTATAGTACCTGGTTCATATAAAATTCACAGAAATTTCACACAGTTTTTGGCGTTAATTGGACATTTGTGTGGATACTCAGGGCTGGTTACGGGAAGGTTGCTGGCTCAAACCTTGCAAGAAACAAGCCATGACCATTGTGCCCTTGAAAAAGACACTTAACTGCAGATTGCTCAAGAGTGAACGTCTTTGTAATAAGTTTATAGCTTATGGTGACGTTCTATGACAGTCACGAAACAAATTCCCTTTTAGATTCCTCACCATACTATAATTTTTAATCTACCTTGTAGTGATTAAATGTTGACATATGCTACTTTTCTAACAGTGTATGTTCTCAGCTCAGCATATGTCAGCTCCAGAAAATTATTCAACATAATGTTAACTTATTAACATTACCCTGTTTTTTATTTTATTTATTTTTATATTTTTTCACAGAATATCAAAGCGGCCATGGCAATGGAGAAAACAAAGGGTTTCTGTCATGTGGTGGTGTCCTCTAACCAGCGGGATGGTTTCTCTCACCTGATCCAGTCTGCAGGCTTGGGTGGCATGAAACACAATGCAGTGCTGATGGCCTGGCCCGCCAACTGGAAACAAGCCGAGAGCTCCCTCTCCTGGAAGAACTTCATTGGTGCGCATGTGTCATTTTCTGATACTAAGCTACCATAAAGTCAGATAATCAGTTTAAGGCAATGAGGTCAGGGATTATTAATGAAGATTATAACGGTTAAGACTGTAGCTGAGCTTTATTTTGAGCAATCTTTTGTAGGCTTTAGGTCTCAAAGTACCCAAAACGCTGCAATATTACAATAATCCCATGTAATTTTAGATCAGTTTGTGAAATTTTTTTTTTTACAAGATGTGAAAATGGTGTAGGAAATATCAATCACTTTGACAAAATAGTAAAAACTAAAATGTTTTGTCCCAAAGAAACCGTCAGAGAGACAACAGCTGTCCACCAGGCCCTATTAGTGGCAAAAAACATCGATACATTTCCCACAAACCAGGACCGGTTAGCTGAGGGTACCATTGATGTCTGGTGGATTGTCCATGATGGTGGTCTACTCATGCTTCTTCCTTTCCTGCTCCGCCAGCATAAGGTAGAAGGCAACAGAATGTCCGATACAGAAAACTGCACCCTTTTTTTTGTTATCAGACTAGCTTTTCTCTCCCTGAAATCACGTAGGTTTGGAGAAGGTGTAAGATGAGGATCTTCACAGTGGCTCAGATGGATGACAACAGCATCCAGATGAAGAAAGACCTACAGATGTTCTTGTACCATCTGCGTCTTGATGCTAAGGTGGAAGTTGTGGAAATGGTGAGATACAATTTTGATCTGCATAAACCTAAAATCAATTATAATGTTTTAATAATAAATCTTTAATTAATAAGCTTAAGTTTTAGTAAATGAATCACATTTTAATAATTATGTTATGTTATGTTATGTTATGTTATGTTATGCTATGCTATGCTATGCTATGTTATGTTATGTATAAGGAATGTTTGAATGCAAGATACTAGAATTTAACTTTTCAATATGTCAATATCTCTGTAGAATGCAGGCGATATCTCGGCTTTCACCTATGAGAAGACCCTTGTGATGGAGCAACGCTCTCAGATGCTGAAGCAGATGCAGCTTTCTAAGACAGAACGGGAGAGAGAGGTAATATTTCTCCAGCAATCTATTCTTTTGTCATTATTGTCAGGTTATTACAGGACTTTATGTGGAATAAATGAATATGGTTTCAGTCAATACACTTCATAAAGAATCATACGTTTTACACTACTTGCAGTAGATTAAGTTAGGGCTCTGTTTTACATGAGGCCTTTTCCTTCTACTTAACAATTTTGGATTATTTGCTCTGTGGCGAATGTCAGATTCAAAGCATCTCAGATGAATCCCGGAATTCCATCAGGAGGAAGCCCTGCCGGGAGAAACCAACTCAAAGCAATAAGTCACAAGTGCCAACTATAATTCTGGACGAGGAGGTAGCTCAGGGGTTTACCTCTTACGGATCCCATATTTTCACTCTCTATCAAGGCTACTATTACTAGATAACAATCCTGTCCAACTACTCCATCCAGATGACCTCTTTTTCACTGTGGCTGGTGCCTGAGGTGGAGCCGGTGCCCGGCTAAGAGCAGTACTTGGTCAGAAATGGCCTGTTTTTCCACTGACTCAGGAGCTGTGGAAGTTGTGCCCACCAACATCACTGGTCCTCTTGTTTGAGGCCAGGAATAGCGCACCAGGGTGGTTTGTGTGTAAAAGTGCAGCTCGGTTTCAGATTGGGCACCATCTCTGGCACCAGCACCAGTGGAAAAGTAGTAGTCCCTTCACACTGTCAGACATGACAGAGCCACAGCTTTCATCAATGGTTGCCTTTAGCAACTATGATTCTTCTATGGTTTTTACATCATAAATTTGAAAATTCCTTATTATATAGCAGTAAGAATAACATGGCAATGAAAATGACTGTGGCCCTGAAAATGGCATAATTTAATTTGTTTACAGCATGTCTGCATGTCATTATGGGGCATGAGAGTGTCTCGACTACTTGAGTGAAAACATGTGCAACTCCACTAATTATACTACCATGCTTTAAGATTGTTTGTTTATTTAATCAAACTACACTACCATTCAAAATGCAGATTTTTTTTTTTAAGAAGTTAAAGAAGTGCTCATCAGGTCTGCATTTTATTTGATCAAAAATACAGTAAAAACAGTAATATTGTGAAATATAATTACAATTTAAAATAACTGCTTTCTATTTTAATATATTTTAAAATGTAATTTATTCCTGTGATGCTAAAGCTGAATTTTCAGCATCATCACTCCAGTCTTCAGTGTCACATGATCCTTCAGAAATCATTCTAATACTGATATAATGCTCAAGAAACATTTCTTATAATTACCAATGCTAAACAGTTGTGCTGCTTAATATTTTTGTG